CCCCCCCGCCCCAGCTTACCTGCTGCTGCCTCCCGCCTGCCCCTGCTTCTTTTCAGACTTCCTGCGAAGATCTGATTGGTGGGAAGCAGGGGAGGGGGAGGAGCAGGGGGCGGAGCGTTCATGGGAGGGAAGGAGGGGGGGAAGACAGCTGCGTGCCGGATAGCTTGGTAAGGCTGCAGGGGATGGGGGGAGCTGGGAAGGGGCTTTGGGTGCCCAGCGGCGCTTGGCCGCTGCTTTTCTATCTATAAATAGCTGACCGTGGGGAAATCCCGGACATTTTTAGATTTTTAAAAATCCCCCCCGGACGGCTATTTATAGACCGAAAAGTCGGACATGTCCGGGGAAATCCGGACATATGGTAGCCCTAGTTTAAAGACTATAAAGAAATAGTGAGTCTGGGCCCTGAGAGGGAAGCAGACTCGTGGTGGGTCTCTCTTATTGGTGTTTGGTTTGTACTCTTTAGCAATTGAAACTAAACACAGCAGCCCAGGAAGCAGGGAAGATATTATAAAATTAATCATTTCTATTTTTGTTGGAATGTTTTATGGCTCAGTAATTGTATTAATTTTTTTTGCTAACACAGTAAGCCTAAATTAGCCTGTGCCCTAGTTCTTGTTACAATCTAGAAGTGAGTCAGATCTTAAAAAATCCAGAATCTATTTGCTAGAAGAATAAAAAAAATTACGCTGCCCCCCCCAGCCTCAAAACTCATTTTAAAAAACTTTTATTCATAAACTAATAGGCTCTCTTGTAAATTCTTTAAATTTTTGTTCTGTACTCAGAGTGAGTAATACATTTAGGGAAGATGCACTATTATTCGTATATAACAAGTTTAATCCCTGCTTTTAGTGCAAATCTCAATTTCTTTTAATATGGAGGTGCCATTGTACCTTCATAATGACACCATGGCTGTACAATAGATCCATTTTACAGTGAAATTGGATAAAGTTAAGCTACACTTACATTGAAGCAGGATGAAAATGTGCAGATTGCAATTTCAGTTATAGTTAACTTCTGTTTAGTAGAACTTCCCTGGAAGAAATATGACTCACTTGATTATAAAAATATGTGTATTATTTAAAGACACTAGATAAATTATATTTGATTAAAATTTAACCTCATTGTTCATCCATCTAGACAGAAAAAAGGGAGTGACAGTTTCTTCTTCTGCATCCAGAGCCTGGCTGCTAATATGTGTAATCCTGAAAATGAAGTCAACAAAAAAACCACCACTTACTGGAGTTCTTGGAAGTGAATGTGTAAATTGTGTGGAAAGACTAGATCTTCTGGGGAGGCTGAATTTAAATGAATTGTGCTGAATGAAATCTCAGTGCCTTGAAAATATTAGTTCAGTGATTGAAGCTGTATGTGTGGTTGCCATTTCAGAAGTAAGCTAAAATGGAAAGGGAATTATTCAACCTGTGCCTGTCTTGAGGCAGCTCCTTATGTAGCAACTTTCAGTACTGTTTTGTGTGTATGTTTAGTATTATCAGTCACTGAACTTCTAGAACTATATTAAAGGAAAATATCAAGATTAAGTCAGATGTCTTTTTAGTGTGTTAAATTCACAGCTTGATTAAATATAGTCAAATATGCTGCAATCTCTTTAGTGAGGGGAGAACTTAAAAAGCAGTAAGGATAGTCTTGAGTAACTTAACAAAACATGAAGGTTAGTAGCATTGCTGTTAGTGTTATACTGTGTGAGAAGGTCTTGACTTCATTAAAAATGAAGGTAGGTAGTTCAGAAATTTTCAGTACCAAATTAACATTTGCATGTCTTACTCTGAACACATGGATTTTATCCATTTTGAGATTCCTTCCTCTTCAGATCTTCCTTGATCCCACTTATCCTGTTCTCTAATCCAGGGTTTTTTAAAATTAATTAGTAAAATAAAGAATTTAAACTCAATGAGACACTTTTTCTACCCTTATTATGAGCGTTTACAATGATGATTGTGACCGTGTCTGGAGACCTTATCTTATTATCAAGCAAGCATGGCAAGATCAGGGATTTAAGGGTGGGCTCACCCGGGAGGGCTGGCTGCTGAATGCCCTGTGAGGTTCTCAGGAGTGACCAGTGAGCTCTTACAATCAGTTCCCTGGTGGATAAGGGGTGTGTGTGTGTGGGGTGTTTCTAAGAAGCAGAGATCTGCACTAGATGGAGAAAGGACCTCTTGGTAAAATACTTGGGGCCCCTGCAAACTGTTCTCAGCAAATGGACCCCCTTTGAATTAACTGGGGCTGCATATGGGTGCAGAATTTGTCTGCAGGGAATAGATTACAGAATTGGGGTCTTAGATTTGTTGTTGGACCATGTTTACAAATTTTACCACTTCACACTATTATTTAATTTAAATGCCAATTGAAGCTTTTTGAGTTGGCAAAAAAAAATAGTTACCAATAGTCTCTCTTTAAAACTAGGGGATATTCTATATAGCTTTCAGAACCCAGAATTCCCTTTCCCTTGTCAACCTTTAAGACTTGAGGCCACTAGTCTTCTGGCAGATTAGGACTGGATGGGATTTATTTTGGAGCCAGTCAAATGGGGGTTTGCTCTTGAAAGATAAGAGAAATCTCTCTCTTCCCAGGGCCTGAGTGCATGCCTTCTGCAGCACCCCATGTCTCTTAGAATTCAAGGGTTCAAGAATCTGGTAACAGAACCTGGATTTCTAGTTCCAGCACTTTGGGAGCTGGTCCATTAAATATCTTTAATGAGAAAACCCCACCACTTCTCTCATTCAGCTCTTGGCTTGAGCTCTTCGATCGTTGAGCATTGTGCTGTGGCTAGCGCCCCCCCTACACAAGGGAGTGGTGCAGGACTGGTAGCCTACCAGGCACCTATTGAATCTCGAAATTCTCAGAATTTTGTACTGCAGTCTTGTATTTGTTTTCCAGAACAATACCTTCTGCACTACTTGGAAAATGTTGGCGAGAGGAAGAACTAATGATACTTAATATTAAATTCTGTAGCTTGTTTGTGTTTTTAAATTGGTCTCACTTTGTCCCACTTCTGGTATGTCTGATTAAAAGTAAGTCATGTATTTCTCAGAAGATGCTGTGTAGGAAAAGTATTTGCTGTAATGTTATCTTGTGATTAAATATTAGACACACTTCCATTTGGTATCAATGGTTTATCTGACTATAATTGAAACTCTCCTTTATGCCCTTCTTTTTTCTCGTTGCAGTGACAATTAAGACCTGATGCCAGCCCAGAATTTCAGCCACTATTGTTCTTGTCTTTGTATACTGGTTGAGCATCACTGATGTAAACAGTCTTCTTAGCAGACTATTTGATTTACACTAATTAAAAACATGTCCTTTTTCTTACCTCTTTATAGACAACACAAACATAAACTGTCTCAAGTTAGGATGGGCTCCAGTAACTAAAATCAAACAGAGCAGTTTCTTTTAGTGCGATGTTTTGTATTGTTCCTAAACACTTGTCTGCTCAGGATAGGTCAACAACTTCCTCCTAACATAAATGTATATGGTACCCATAGAAATAGTGGTTAGAAACACTGTCTAGTGTACACAAGCTTCAGGCTGTTTAGAACATAGTGTCTTAGCCTCTTGTGCAACTTAAAAAATATCACTCTTTTTTCTACCCAGCAAAGGAGAATCTACTGTGTTCAAGGCTCATACGGCAACTGTAAGAAGCGTTCAGTTCTCCAGTGATGGACAGTCCTTGGTTACAGCTTCTGATGACAAAACAGTCAAAGTATGGACAGTTCACAGACAGAAATTTCTCTTTTCCTTGAACCAGCACATAAACTGGGTTCGCTGTGCCAAGTAAGTACAACCTGCTGGCAAAAAACTGTGGTGGTGGTGTATGTCTTAAAACAAAGAGTGCATTCAGCAGGTGGCTTTGGTGTAACAACACCAAAAGCCTTATGCTTCAAATCAGTCCTGAGCTGAAGTAATTTTGAACAGGTATAGAGATCTATATATCCTTGTTGCCCAACCCCCAAGTAAATGCAACATCTAAACTTTTTTTCTTTAGCAGTTGGATTTGTGATGACTGGGAGAACCGCATGGAGAATTGCCTGCTGGGTGCAAAGGTTGCAGACCTCTTGAGATACCTAGATAGACTTGTATGCAGTGCTGGGGAGGAACCAGTAGTCATGGTACACGGCATAGGGAAAGATAGGAGAGAGGTCCTGGAGGCTGAATTTAGGGCAGTAGGTAAGATAGATATAGATGTTTTTAAGTCCTCCATGATGGCATTCTCTAAAATGCTTCCAGTTCTATGTGCAGCGCCAGTTTGATAGTCAAACAGCAGGGTCTCAATACCGGCTGAGACTGTGGTGTCGGGAGGATGGATTTAGGTTTATTAGAAACTGGGGAATCTTTTGGGAAAGGAGGAGCCGATGCAGGAAGGACTGGCTCCACCTAAACCAATATGGAACGAGATTTCTGGCATGTAAAATTAAAAAGCTTGTAGTGGAGTTTTTAAACTAGGACTGGGGGAAAGCCAACAGGTATGAAGGTGCACACCGTTTGGACAGACCCATCCCTGCGGGGAGGATTTATTAAAGTGGACACTATCTAGTCTAATAAAGAGGAGATGATAGAAGTTGATGAAGTAGGTAGGAACTGAAGAGAAACAGTCAAAGAAAGGCAGATAACTAAATATTGACAAACTTTATAAATGCTTGTATACAAATACAAGAAGTCTAAATAGTAAGATGGTTGAACTTGAGGTATTAAATGAGGATATTGATATAATAGGCATCATGGGAACTTTGCCATTGTTCCGCTATAGGACATGGTAAAACCACTGTACAGAAAATATAGGAATGATAGAGTAGGTCTTACTGGTGGGGGAGTGGCAGTATATGTGGGGGTATAAAAGCATAAAGTCAATTATAGTAACAATCTTAAATGAATCAAACAGTATAATAGAATTTCTATGGATGGAAATTGCGTGCTTGAATAATAAGACTATAGCAGTAGGAGTATACTGCTGGCAACCTGATCAAGATGATAAGGGTGATTGTGAAATGCTCAGGGAGATTAGAGAGGCTACAAAAAACAGAAAACCCCGTAATAATGGGGGATTTCATCTGTTCCCATGTTGAGTGGGTATGTGTTATCTCAGGATGGGATGCAGAGATAAATGTTTCTAGACACCGCTAATGATTTGCTTCTTGGAGTAGCTAGTCGTAGAACCCACAAAGGGAGAGGCAATTCTTGATTTAGTCCTAAATGGTGCACAGGATCTGGTCGTAGAGGTGAATATAGCTGAACCACTCAGTAATAGTGACCATAATGTAATTAAATTTAACATACTTTGTGGGGGGGGCGGAATGCCCATGAAACTGACCACAGTAGCATTTAACTCCGTGGTTCTCAAACTTTTGCATTGGTGACCCCTTTCACACAGCAAGTCTCTGAGTGTGACACCCCTCCCCCCCATTAAAATACACTTTTATATTTAACACTATTATAAATGCTGGAGGCAAAGTACGGTTTGGCGGTGGTGGCTGACAGTTTGCAACCCCCCCATTTAATAGCTTCATGACTCCCTGTTTGAGAACCACTGACTTAACTTGAAAAAGGGAACTAGAAAAAAAGAGGAAATTAAAAGGGACAGTCACAAGAGTGGATGCCTGCAAGCTCTATGGAAACGTTAAAAACACCATAATATAGGCTTAAACTATGTGTACCCTTTTACTGTGTGTGGTTGTGGGTTTTTTTAGGACCCAAAAAAATGCCACCATGGCTAAACAACTGGGTGAAAGAGGTGGTTAGAGGAAAAAAGGCATTCTTTAAAAATTGGAAGTCAAATCCCACTGAGGAAAATAGGAGCATAAATTCTGTCAAGTCAGAAAATATAATTAGGCCAGCCAAAAAAGAATTTAAAGAGCAGCTAGCAAAAACACAAAAAGTAACAGCTAAATTTAAGTACATCAGAAGTAGGACAAAGCCCACTGAACAATCAGTGGAGCAAGTGGATGATGGAGGTGCTAAATGAGAATTCTAGGAAGCCTAGGCCATTGTGGAGAACCTAAATGAATTCTTTGTTCAGTCTTCACTGCAGAGGATGTGAGAGAGATTGTCACACCTGAGACATTCTTTTTAGGTGACGCATCTGAGGAACTGTCAGACTGAGGTGTCAGTAGAGGTGGTTTTGGAACAACTTGATAAATTAAACAATAAGTCACCAGGACCACATGGTATTCACCAAAGAGTTCAGAACTGTTAACTGTGGTATGTAGCTTATCCTTTAAATCGACCATGGTACAGTTGACTGGAGGATAGCTAATGTAACACCCATGATTTAAAAAGTCTCCAGATGCAATCCTGGCAATTACAGGCTGGTAAACCTAACTTCAGTACCAGGAAAATTGGTTGAAACTATAGTAAAGAACAGAATGATCAGACACATAGATGAATACAATATAGTGGGGAAGAGTTGACATGGCTTTTGTAAAGGGAAATCATGCCTCACCAATCTATTAGAATTCTTTGAGGGAATCAACAAACATGTGGACAAGGGTGATCCAGTGGATATAGTGTACTTGGACTTTCAGAAATGCTTTGACAAGGTCTCTCACCAAAGGCTCTTAAGCAAAGTAAACAGTCATGGGATAAGAGGGAAGGTCCTTTCATGGATCAGTAACTGGTTAAAAGATAGGAAAGAAAGGGAAGGAATAAACAGTCAGTTTTCAGACTGGAGAGAGGTAAATGACTGGGTTGCCCAAGAATCTGTACTGGGACTGGTGCTGTTCAACACCTACATAAATGATCTGGAAAAAGGGGTTAACAGTGAGGTGGCAATGGTTGCAGACAATACAAAATTACTCAAGATAACCAAGTCCAAAGCAGACTGTGAAGAGTTACAGAAGGATCTTAAAAAACTGGGTGACTGGGCAACAAAATAGCAGATAAAATTCAATGTTGATAAATTCAAAGTAATGCACACTGGATAACACAATCCTAACCATACATACAAAATGATGGGTGTGACTGGTTCTGTCACAGAGACCCCCTTGGGACTGTCACCTGATGTGCTGAAACTATCTCTGAGCCCATTTTCTCTGATGGCTTGGGACTCCAGAACCTTGTCTTGTTGAGCCTGCTGCAACACAGACCCAGGGTCTGAACCATGCTGCCAAAGCTGCAGACTTAACTGAAAACAGCTCAGCAAGTACTCCTGTCTCCAGCACTCAGACACCCAGCTCCCAATCGGTCCAAGCCCCCAAGTAAATCAGTTTTTATTCTGTATAAAGCGTATTCAGAGTAAACTCATAAATTGTTTGCTCTCTATAACACTGATAGAGAGAGATGCACAACTGTTTGCTCCCCCAGTTTATTAATCACTTACTCTGGGTTTGTTAATGAACAAAAGTGATTTTATTAAGTATAAAAAGTAAGACTCAAGTGGTTTCAAGTAATAACAGACAGAATAAAGTAAGTTACCAAGCAAAATAAAACAAAACCCGCAAGTCTAAGCCTAATACGTTTAAGAAACTGAATACAGGTAAATCTCACCCTCAGATGTTCTAATAAGCTTCTTTCACAGACTAGACTCCTTCTTAGTATGGGTCCAATCCTTTCCCCTGGTACGGTTCTTGTTAGTTCCAGCTCAGGTGGTAACAATCTCATGATTGGCAGCCCCCTTTGTTCTTTTTCACCCCCCATATATCTTTGGCACAAGGTGGGAATCTTTTGTCTCCCTGGATTCCCACTCCTCCTTTTAAATGGAAAAGCACCAGGTTTAAGATAGATTCCAGTACCAGGTGACATGGTCTCGTGTCACTGTAAGACCTCCTTCTTTATTACCTAGTAGCTGGGAGACACTTACACAGGAAGGCTTACAGGTAAACAAAACCATTCACAGTTCATTGATTCTGAAGCACCCTTAATGGCTTCCACTTAACATATTTACCTCAGTAATACAAGTTTATATCTTATTCTCCTAACTCCAGACATAGAAATAATACATGCAAACAAATAGGATGAATGCACTCAGTAGATCATAAGCTTTGTAATGATACCTTACAAGAGACCTTTTCAATAAAGCATATTCCAGTTACATTATATTCACACTCATAAGCATCTTTCCATAAAAACATGGAGTGTAATATCACAATGGGTTCTATACAGGGTGATGTCACTCAAGAAAGATCTTGGAGTCATTCTGGATAGTTCTCTGAAAACCTCTTAATGTGCAGCAGCAGTCAAAAAAGCTAACCATGTTATGGACCATTAGGAAAGGGATAGATAACCAGACAGAAAATATCATAATGCCCCTATATAAATCCATGGTATTCCCACACCTTGTGTGCAATTTTGCTTTTCCCATTTCAAAAAAGAGAGATTAGAATTGGAAAAGGTACAGAAAGAGGCAACAAAAATGATTATGGGTATGGAAAAGCTTCTGTCGGAGGAGAGATTAAAAAGACTGGGACTTTTCAGCTTGGAAAAGTTATAACCTCAGAGGGGATATGATAAAGGTCTATAACACTGTGACTTGGTGTGGAGAAAGTGGATAAGGAAGTGTTATTTACTCCTTCACCTTATGGAAGAATCAGGGGTCAATGAAATTTTTAGGCAGTAAGTTGAAAACAAATAAAAGGAAGTACTTTTTCATACATGTCAACCTGTGGAACTTATCAGAGGATGTTGTGAAGGCCAAAAGTATAACTGGATTAAAAAAAGAACGAGGTCCCCATCCAGGGATCACTCAATAAATTGCCCTGTTCTGTTCATTCCCTCTGAAGCATCTGGCACTGGTTGCTGTTGGAAGACAGGCTACAGGGCTAGATGGACCATTAGTCTGACCTAGTATGGCCATTCTTGTGTTTTCTGTTCAGAAGAAAAGCTAACGGTCTAGTTACTTCAGCCCTATTTCACTTCTTCTTACCCTGATGCACTTCTGTTTCACTTCTTCATACCCTGACTGGATATCGGAAATAGTGTTTATCCCCATTGTGACGGCTTGGATCACAGAAACCACTTTGGGTTTGCCAACTGATGTGCTGAGACTACTTCTAACCTGTTTTTCCTGGCAGCTTGGGACTCCAGAACCTTGCCTAGTTTGAGCCAGACATGGTTGTGTGCTGCAAACCCAGACCAGGTCTGAACCATGTCCCCTAAACGCTGCAGGCTTAACTGAAAACAGCTTAAGAAGTGTTCCTGTCTCTAACACTCAGATTCCCAGCTCCCAATGGGGTCCAAACCCCAAATAAATCCATTTTACCCTGTATAAAGCTTATACAGGGTAAACTCATAAATTGTTTGCCCTTTATAACACTGATAGAGGGATATGGACAGTTTTGTCCCCCCCCTCCCCCAGGTATTAATACATACTCTGGGTTAAGTAAAAAGTGATTTTATTAAATACAGAAAGTAGGATTTAAGTGGTTCCAAGTAATAACAGACAGAGCAAAGTGAATTACCAAGCAAAATAAAATAAAACACGCAAGCCTATGCCTAATACAGTAAGAAAGTGATTACAGATAATCTCACCCTCAGAGATGTTTCAATAAGCTTCTATCACAGACTGGATGCCTTCCTAGTCTGGGCACAATCCTTTCCCCTGGTACAGCCCTTGTTCCAGCTCAGGTGGTAGCTAGGGGATTTCTCAGCCCCCTTTGTTCTGTTCCACTCCCTTATATAACTTTTGCACAAGGGGGGAATCCTTTGTTCCTCTCTGGGGTTCCCCCCCCTTCTAAATGGGAAAGCACCAGATTTAAGATGGATTTCAGTACCAGGTGACATGGTCACATGTCCTGTGAGACCCCAAGCCTTCATTCCTCCCAGCCTGACTCACAGGAAGGCCTGCAAGCAAACAGAGCCATCCACAGTCAATTGTCAATTGTCCTGGTTGATGAGAGCCATCAAGATTCCAAACCACCGTTAATGGCCCACACTTTGCATAATTACAGTAGGCCCTCAGAGTTATATTTCATATTTCTAGTGTCAGATACAAGAATGATAGATACATACAAACAGGATGACCACACTCAGTAGATTATAAGATTTGTAATGATACCTTACATGAGACCTTATGCATGAAGCATATTCCAGTTACATTATATTCACACTCATTAGCATATTTTCATAAAATCATATAGAGTGCAACGTCACACCCATTATGTTATACACATGGCTGTAATTCTTTCATTGCAACCTAAAGCCTTAATCCTGTAAAGATTTATGCATGTGAGTAGATGTGTCGATCTCAGTGGTACTACTTGCCTACGTGACATTGTTGGAGAGGGCAGCTTAAGGTTGCACTTTTCTGGTAATGTCAAACAGTGTTTCTACAGTTACTGTTGTCTATTTTGAACTTCTCCTAACAGCCTTAACCAGAAATATAGTCATTTTGAGGACAAATAAGTTACCTTTCCTACTGGTAGTGAATCTAGAAATTGTCCGAAGCAGGGCCTAGAAATGAAGCACTTGAAACAGCCTTAAATGAAAACAAGTAGGATAGATGATCTGAAATCAGTTTAACCATTTTTTCTGAAGAGTCATTTAATCTATCTGCATGCTGTTCAATAATTTCAGTCCTTTTAGGTTGCTTTTCTCAGTAATCATAGAAATCAGCTTTGCAGATTTAGCTCTGCATTCGGCTACCCTTGCTCCTCAAGTAGTCGTATTGACATCAGTGGGACTACTCAAAGAGTAAGTACTTGTGTACATGAACATTTAATTTGCGGCAAGCTGGGGTGTAAATCTACCATATGCCAAGTGTCCATGGACCCTGCTGCTACACACTAACCATTCCCTAGTGCACTTTGATCTACCCTGCTTTGAAATGTGAGTAGATCGAAGTGCACTAGAGAACAGCAGGGTCCACAATGACATTTAGTGCATGGCAGGCTAGTGTGGGGTGGATTTACGTCCCAGCATGCTGTGAACTAAATATTGCTGTAGACAAACCCTAAGATGCATCCTACCATGAGTAAGGTATCCAGATCTAGCCCATACTGTCTATCCCCTCCAGCTTCTTGTTAGTTCTGAACTTTGCTATAACTCCTGTATTTATTTTAGATTTTCTCCAGATGGAAGACTAATAGCTTCTGCAAGCGATGATAAAACTATCAAACTATGGGATAAAACCAGCAGAGAATGTATACATTCTTTTTGTGAGCACGGTGGGTGAGTACCAGTAGAATGCACAGGGGCAAGACACACAAGGCTGTCTTATTTGAGCCTGCCACACTTTTTTCACTGTTTGGCAGAGGTTAAATCATGACTGACTGCACAATCGCATAGATCCTAGCTACACAGAAATGACCTTTAGTCACCAACCATTCCTTCCAGATCCCTTACTGCTGGGCTTGAAAGTGACATGGATGTTAGTGTAAATGAAGCTAAACATGTTTTAACATCCATCTAGTGGCCTAGATATGAGAACAGTTCTTAGAAATCATTTTAGCCACATTATGCTGAGGACAAAACCACATTAAATGAAACTTTTCACATCTCTTCTTGCCTCCTCCCACCCCCAATATATACATACACACACACACACACACTCTCTGTCTCTAGTTCTAGGAAACTTAAGGAGGTTTGAATCTCACTTCTCTTCACTAGATTTGCCAAAACTTTATTTTTATTGTGCTCTAAATTAATGAAGTTCAATAATTAAAAGGTCTTTGCAATAATGCTTTGCACTTGTGCGGTACCTTTCATTCTAGGCTCTCTAAACCATTCATAAAATTAATCAAACCTCCTACATGTCGTCTGTGAGGTGGGGAAGTGTTATACCTATTTTATAGTTGAAACTGAACCACCACAAGATTAAGGGACTTGTCCAAGGTTATAGAACAAGTCAATGATCGAATTGAGACCAGAACCCATGATTTCTAGGTTCCGATTCCATGGCATCATTTGACACACACCTCCTCAATAGACCAGTAACTGCATACTGCCTTTTTTGTTTTCCCTTTCATACAATTCTCTTGTTTCAAGATAACGTCTGAATTTGTCATTAAGGTTGTATTTAATGTCATGACCTTTGATTCTGATCTCGTTAATGTCATGGTACAATACTGTTGTTTTTCATACTCCTTTTTAGTACACATGGTTCCTCCACACAACAGATCTGAGAATTTGATGAAAAACACTATATAAGCTCTTGGTGGTATTCTTAATATGGCGCAATGTAAGGATGCTAATAGGGCAGTCAGTTTTCTTGTTATCCGATGTCTTGCTTGTATCAATGGAGCAAGAGTTACAAAGCACCTTAAAGGATCGATTTTATACTTTTTTTTTTTAAATAACAATGTGTTCAAAGGATATGGCTGCATGTTGTATCTCATAAGCACCAATTAAGAACTCCTGTGATCTTAGTAAAAAATAATTGCTTCTATTAAATATTAACTTTTGAAAATTAATGTTAAGACATCTAAATCTACAAAATTCCAGAAGGTTTGCTTCTGAAACTCATGTAATTGTCATCAAATTCTTTTTAATACAAATATATATAAAATAGTGCTATATCATATCCTGCCTTAAGGGTGTGAGAGAAGCACAAGATAAATGTTAGTTGACTTGAGCTGTGTTTAGCATCTTTAAGTCAGATTTCCTCCTGCCCCCATATTATTTCACTAACATACTGTAATGCTCCTTCTTGTAAGGGATCCCTCCAAGTTTAAACTGTTGGATTTTTCTTTATAGGTTTGTGAATCATGTGGATTTTCATCCCAGTGGTACATGCATTGCTGCAGCTGGTACAGATAACACAGTGAAGGTGTGGGATGTTAGGATGAATAGACTACTTCAGCATTATCAGGGTAAGTTACAGACCTAAGAGAGTTGTTTCTTTTGTTAGTTTTTTGTTTTTTTCCACTGTGGTGTTTAACCTAATAACTGGATCCCCAGGAGGCTAGGCAAAGGGGAAAAAAATTGCTTGCAATGAATTCTTGCTCACTTTACAAGTTGAAAATAAAACTTGCCAGCTCTAAATTAAACTGTTGGCACCTCTGGTCTTTATATAGCCTGTGCTATCTCCCTATCCAACAATGTTTTCAGCTTTGTGCATCTGTTTACATAAGTCAGACTGGGAGAACTAATCATTCTCTAGCTTCCCTATATTATTAATAAATAGTGAATGTACCTATGGCTGAAAGGTGTGGAAAGCTGTAGCAATGCCAAAAGAGCAAAGCTGTCCTGTCACTTCTCCTGAGTAGCCAGCTCCTCCTTCATATCTACCTCTAAAAGCATGTGCTTAAACTCTTGTTACAGATGAATGCTTTGAGAGGAACACGTTCAATAGTAAATCAGGAAGTGTGCAAAGAGGCCACTGAGGCTGTCATAGTCCTTTAGTACCATAAGGAAGCAAGTGAACAGCAGCACTGTGTTTTTTGTTTTGTTTTGTTTGTTTCTTTTTTCTTTTTTTAAAAAGAGAACTTACCTTCCTTTCTTTCTGAGGGTTTCTGAAATTCAAAGCTACATGACGTTCTCCTCATAGTCTAAGTGTGATGAGAGAGTCCCTAGGGTTAGCCTTCAGAGACTGCTGCACTCATTTGTTAAGTGACCATGTCCCTGCTTAACCACATTTTAGTAAATAATCCTTCCTAGTGGCAGTGTTTTAATGAGCCAGTTTGCAAACTTCAGAACTGTAATCACGCATATATAGAGCTGTTTTTACTGTTCATAGATTTTTAAGGCCTGTGATCATCTAGTGTGACTCCCTGTATAACACAGGCCATAGGACACAGGACTTCTCTGAATTAATTCCAGTTTGCACTAGAGCATATTGTGATGTTCCCCTCTGGTGTTGTATGGACTGGTGATCTGTTAGGTCACTCCAATCCTTGACTCTGGGAACCAGCCTTACCCTGCTCTGCTGTGAGAACCCCACTCCTGGGCTGTTCACGCACAGCCTCTGGCATGTAAGCTGCTCCTTGGATTGTGCAACCAAATGACACTAGCCAATATCTCTGTTCCCAGACATAACCCTAGGAACCTCCATCTTGCAGTGTCCAGTTATGCCCGCTGGACGTTGCAAGCTTATATGAGTTCGTCAATTTAATGAAGAAATTGATATGTACCAGGCTTGTTATCCCAAGGCGAGTGTCTGACTCGCTTTGAACGAAACACACTTGCTTCAGGTAGAATAAACAGATTTATTAATTATAAAGGTAGACTTTAAGTGATTAGAAGTCAAAGCATAACAAGTCAGATTTGGTCAAATGAAATAAAAGCAAAACGCATTCTAAGCTGATCTTAACACTTTCAACGTTCCTACAAACTTAGATGCTTCTCACCACAGGCTGGCTGATTGCTCTTCAGCCAGGCTCTCCCCTTTGATCAGCACTTCAGTCGCTTGGTGTGGTGTCTGTAGATGTAGGTGGGGGAGAGAGAGAGAGCATGGCAAATGTCTCTCCCTTTTATCATGTCCTTTCTTCCCTCTTGGCTTTGCCCCCGCCTCCCTTCAGAGTCAGTTGAGCATTAACTCATTGCATTTCCAAACTGACCCAAAGGAAGGGGGGTGACTCACTTAAGAGTCTAACAGATTCTTTTGTTGTTGCCTAGGCCAGCGTCCTTTGTTCCTGTGAGGCTGGGCTGGGTTTGTCCCATGCATGCCCTGATGAGGTGTGAACTGCCTCTCTGTTCTTGGAGAGTTTTTGCCCGGGCTTGCTTTAAGCCACGAGGATAAGTTTTCAGCCTCATAACTATATACATTAAATTATAACCTATAACCTTACTGTAACAATTACTATAACATCATTGTAACAGCCATGCTCAGTGCATCATGCCCTTCCGAAGACACCCAACGTGACAAACTGTGCATTGGATACCACACAATCATTTTATAAAGATGAACATGGGGGTATAGGGTGTTCCCCTGAGGTACAGAGCATCACACACATCTCTTAGGAAAACATCCAGTTGTGATTTTTACAATGTCTAGTGATGAAGAATCCACCACAACCCTTGATAAGTTGTGCCTATGATTAATTACTCTGTGTTAAAATATTGCACCTTATTTCTAGTCTGAATTTGTCTAGCTTCAACTTCCAGCCATTTGATCACATTATACCTTTGCTTGCTAGAATCAAGAGCCCTCTATTATTAAATTTCTGTTTCCCATGTTGATACTTATTAAATGTGTGAAGTCCCCTCCTAACTTTTTCTTTAAGCTAAACAGATAGAACTCCTTGAGTCTTCCACTATAAGGCATGTTTTCCAATCCTTTAATTGTTATTGGGCTCTTCTGTGAGCCCTTTCCAATGTATCAACAGTTATGTTGATGAACATATGTTAAGGGAAACAAAGACCTTCTAGAAGAGGTGCAGTGCAGAATGCTTGTGGATGGTGCATGCATGTCACCATATTATTGGTTACACTATAGTTGTAACCAAGAATTTCAACACAAACCAAATATGAATGTCTGAGGTAAAGGGGGTATATTCTTTCTGATGGCCACAACTCCACTAGCAAAGTTGTCTGTGTATTGAGAGAAGTGCTTACTCCAAACTGTGTGAGTATTAGTGAAACTTGGAAATGGGTATAAAACCTCTGCTGTTAAAACAGGCATAACTTTTTAAATCCTTAAACTAGGGTAAAGGGCAATCTGAAACTACTTATCAGCTTTTATGCAGTGGCAGGATATACATCATGTGTTTCCAGCCACACCATTATTTGGCTCTACAGTGATCTCTTCCTGCTTATGATTTAGAGAGATTAAATTGTCTGGGTCCAGTGTGGCTTAGTTACCATTTGACTGCCAGGATTATTTTTGTCTCTTGGAATTTTAACTGTATCTTTTTCCTGAGTGGCATTTTATTGTTACACTTTTGTTATTGAAATCTTGTAAAACCAGCTCCTGCATAAATCCTAATTAGACACCAAACTTTCAGATTGAAATAATAAATTAAAACTAATAACTTGCAATGGTTATGAGCACAGTGAAGTCATGCCAGTTGCTTTGCAGATACAAATGGGTATCTCTCTTTCTTGCATAAGGATTTATATACCTAATTCATATGATTTAGATAGAAGTTACAGATATTGCACATTTGAAAATGAAATGATATTTTTAGAAGAACAGAACCATGAAATCACTAAATTCCACTAGAGGGCATCTTTTCCTTCAATATATAATCATGTTAAGAAACTGACACGTTTGTTTGATTTTCAAGGGAATCCATTTTAAGAGTCAAATTGGATTGATTAAAGAGCTGTAATTGATAAGTAGTGTTTTTTCCCCCCGATAGAGAGGTGAATAATGCTGTGGTTGTTACCCAACCACTGATTAGTCTGTTGTTGTTGTTGCCATGACTTTGTTCCAACTGCAACATTTGTAAATGATAGTTAAAGGTTTTACAATTTGTTTTCTGCTTTTCTATAGTGTGTCTCAATAAACTAACTTATAAATAACCTGGACATACTCAATGAGCAGACAAATGAACGGTTTACCCACTACACTGAGAAGAGTACTCCTGTACAGGAAATCAACCATAAAAAGTCTGTATAGCCGTATTACTGGTATGAAATTCACTAATATGTTCAGACCTGTTGTGTGGGGCAAATCTGATGCCATATTGCAAAATAAGGAAAACTAGCATCCCAGTGATATGACTTAACCTTCAATTCCTCATTATCTAGGAAGAGTAAATAGTGGACTCTTCAGAATGACTATCTGAATTTACTCAGACATAACATTTTATTAGTGTGAAGCCGTTGTGTATTAGGCGTGACGCACTACTCTTCTAGGTAGCAGGATAAGGTTATAGTGACCTCTCTTACCAGTCTAGTTACAGCAAGTGCATAAATAATTAGAGGTAGCCTAATGAAAGACATTTTCCATGTCCGCCATCTGTCTTTGTACTTGGTTATTTTGCATTAGTCTCAGAGATGTCAATAGAAATGTCTTTGGGGGTTCTGGCTAGTAACAGAATAATTTAGGGGACTAGATTAATGCTATATGAGCCACTTGGAGGCAGGGATCAACTTTTTGTTCTGTGTTTATTTGCATCTAGCACAATGGAGTCTGGTCCGTGGCTGGGGCTCCTAGGTGGTACCACAATACAAATAATAATAAAGGTTGATAGTAATTTATTCCATTTATACTTATTACGTATGGAATAAATTACTATATCACATTGTACATTTTAGGTCACAAAAAATAGTGCAATGCAGATTTCATAGAGTTAAGTACCCTGGGCAATCATCCTGATCACATTGTGCATTGCCAAAATATTTGTTTTCCACATTTGTTTTTTGTTTAAATTTTTGGTATGGGGAGGGGGAGGCATCATTTGCAGCAGGGGAGAACAGAGGTTGTATTACTAATAGTAGTTTAGAATCCTTTGGATTTCCTTCGTTTTTTTCCCATTATTTCTTTTTTTTTTTTTAAGTCATGAATCTGTGAGTAAGCCATCAGATCAGGGGTGATCCCAGATTACAGTACTTTAGCAGCAAACTCTGCTGGCTCTGCAGTGCCCAAAGTTTGTCAGTTCACATTGTGCTTACATTAGTCTACTGGAACAGCCCTACACTATTTTTTTTTTTGGTAACATGATGACTATTTTTTTATTAGAACAGTTGATCAAGAACAAAGAAACGATGAAAAATATAGAACAATAGATGTACAATGGAAACCACCTTTATTGAGGTTATGTTATGGCCATCTTAATTTATATTCTAGTCAATGGCTGCTAAAATAGTATTAACTAATCTCTGGTACTCCATGGGCTCACCATTGTCACAGTTCATGCTTTACATTTTGTTCACAGTACTTATAGTACTATACAGTTCACCCTATAGACTGCAGAGACTCAATTTTAGAGGA